CACCAACTGCAATTCAGTGAATTACATCTTTTTCATCTTTTATTACATTTTAATCTCTACATTAAATTATGCCTTATATCCAATTTCACACTGTCATTGAAGTTATTTGTTAAAATACGGTACTTCAAATAACGGGTTTTTTTTCACTGCTGTCAGTAACTAAGACACTTGGTGTTTCATACAAATACTTCACTCCACTTGACAACTTCCACTGCTCTTCTTGAGAGATGCCTTGCGGGAAGGGTGTGGCTTCACTGTCACAATACTCTCATTGTATGTCCAAGCAGAATGGAAGCAGGGATGTTAGCTTTTTATTTATAAATATGGTAGATATCATACCTAACTAGATGGACTTAATTATCCTGTCCAGATATTATCGTGAATCTCCTTTGACCCATGCATTAGCTAAAGTTCTTAAAAAGTCAAATGCTCATAATCTTTTTACTGTAATATAACTACTAGTATAGAAGTTTGTATTATTTCTATTCTCTTTAAAATTGTATTTTACCAATAATACTTGAAAATATTAGGATTAACAATATATTGATACAGATTATTTTCCATTTAGACACAAATGTGAAATTTTAAATTCATGTTAATTTCTCAATACATAGAGAAATTTGAAAGATATAGGAATTTTGAGATTAGAGCAAATTTATTTTTATACAAGTAAATTCATGAAAAATTTCAATCAAATTTATGCAAATTTAATATATAAATTACAATGGTACTAAATTGCACTTAACTGTGATATCTATAATATTTTTAAGAAAGTTGTAAATGTCTAGCAAGTCAAAGAAGTTTCCTAAATAATAGCAGTTTCTTTGGATGTGATATTATAGAAATTTTTTGATGATTAGTTAAGGTACATTTATTAATTATGGTTAAGCTATTTAAAACTAAATTTTTAGTCATAGGCCTCTTTAATAGATATTATGAAAGACATCTGGAAAATGCGTTATAGACACAAAATTTGCAAATGATAACAGCTTGTTGAAAAATTCATCAAAGAAAATCCATCTTTGACCATGGATCTTTGCTAAATATATTTAAAGGCTGAAATCATTAGCAAATTTTCTATGGATTAAGAATTCTTAGCAAAGTGTTTGACCTGAAAGGAGAAATAATTATTTAAATATGGGTCTTTTTTAATGTTTACTAATGCTTTCCATTATAAAATTAAATGAATTATAGTACTCTGTTAAATTATAGTTACTTTTCTTACCTTGCCTGCTCCAATCATAGTTCTTTTTGTTGAGTTTTAGAAGATAAAAAATATTTTCAGGAGAGTGGTTTTAATTCGTAAAAGTTAAGTTCCAGTCTCATACTTTATTAGTTGTAGTGTTGAGTTGATTTTTGACATATGTAGATACATCTGAAAAAAATACCAGCATTTGTAAAGAACAATGAATAAAATTGCCTTGAAGAAAAGGAATTTTGTTCAATAAATATTTTTGGTAAATTAATATGTGATTTTTTTAAGGCACAATTTATTCAACATAAAGCATTTCATTCAACTGAAGGCTTATAGTAAATATTTTCAATCCTTTAATCTTCTAAATATATTTTTATAAAATTGTGTTGTTAATTACATTTTAGGGGTTAGGGAAGGTAAAATGTTCAATAAAATAGTTTGCTTTCTGGGATTATAATTGAAATACAGTTTATAGTAAACATTATATTTTTTGACAGTGTCATATATAAGCTAAATTTTTATTAAAAAACTAAATGAAATTACATTATTGTAGAAAATGGGATGGGTTATTTAACTATGTATTTTCTACATTTATGAATTTTTTTATAAATGCAAGCCCCAAAGTCTCCAATTTTTTTAGTCTTTCTGTAAGGAATAGTGATAGGCATTTTAATAAGTTTGTTAGAGTACTACCAGCATTCAGAGTGCTTCTAAAGTGGGGATTCAATGCCAAGATGTAGGAGAGAATTGGAAAATATTTTATATTTTAATTTTGCTATTAGAATTAAAATTGATAAAATAATATAAAAAATTTAAATGATGATCAGTAATCATTCTTCTCAAAGTAAGACATTTTAGCTCTCTGGTTATGGTTAATTTTACTTATAGTAAACATACAAGGGATAATCACATTCCAAGGTTCTAATACATCTTTAATCATTACTATTTGTATGAATTATGTAAATTATTGGAATTATATCTTGGGTGATACAAATTTGTGATATGGTGTTTTACTTGATATATTTGTCTTAATATTTAGCTTGACACACCTATAATTCAGAAATAATTTCATTTTATCTACAGTAGGCAGCTGAGAGATAAAATGGAAAACCACCAAAATCTTTGGCAAAGTTAGAGCTTCCACATTCCTACTGAAGGTTCTTCAATGGTTATGAAAAACTTTTTTTCCAAAACATGATAACTTTTAAAATAATTATATCATTAAATATGCACTAAAAACATGCTGTCAGGAAATGAGAAATACTACAAAAATGTGTATAATATTATGTAATTATCTGGCCTTCTGATATGAGTAAGTAAATGATAATGTATTTGCATTCTGCTTCTATTGTTAGAATTGGAGAAAAAGCACTAGGATAGCACAGCAACTGCAATTTTGCTGGAGAGTCAAGAGATTCACTCTTGATTTTGAGTCATAATATTAATTTAGAGGGTTTTTTTGTCCTTAATATATTTAAAAGATATCAGCTTCAACTCCTTTGGGTATGAATATAGTATATTAATCGTATCTGGAAGGTAAAAATGAAGTCATTTAAAACTATCCTTAGATTCGTTTTAGTATGCACTACTGTCTTATGATTTGGTCTGGAGCTTTGCAAAACTAATATTTAAAATCAACCGTATCACTAGCTAAAACAATCTATTTAGAGATATGAGGTTGTGTTTTGGCAAAATTCAATCACTGGAACAATTTCAAACTGCTTCAGTCCAGAAGCTCTTGGGAAATAATCATCATTGTCCAAGCAATCATCAATCCTAAAAACTATATGATACTAAAAGTGAAGGTTACAAAGCTATGAACTAATAAATGTCAAAACATTCTTTAAAAAATTTAATGTCATTTGGTGAGGATAGTTAAGCTCATTTTACTTAAATTTGTTTTTATTGGAAGTAGTGGTTACACCAAATTGCTTTAAACTTTAATTACAAAGTAAAACTGAATATAGTTCATTTGATTTTCTCAATGATTAAAGTAAATGACTGAGTGTATATCCATAGGTATTCACACCATGGGAAGAAAGCAGAGAGCAGAGATTTGCACATTTTCTATATTGCTAATGGCTTTCTATAAATATAATGAACATTTTTAATAACTCCATCTCAGTTTCTAATTACTCTCATTTAGCACTTTGCATTATGATTTTTCCTTTTGACTATGTGTTGTAAAGTAATAATTTTCTAAACTACTTTTCTCAAGCTCTCTGTTGAACCGTCTATGAATTGTAATGGTAGTGACCATTAATTGTCTGAAGTCAGCATTTTCAAAGCAAGTGTGTGTCATTGCTTAATTCACATAACTGTAATGATAGAGATTAAGATTGTCTAATTTATTGAATTTAGCAAAGTGAAACATTTAATGATTTGGCGCAAAAAGTATGATTGAAACACTTAGGCATAAATTTCAGATTTTTTTGTGTTTATATCTTGGACTATTAGTCTGTACCTGGACACATAATAAAAGTTATCTGTTTACTTAATTTTAAAGTGGGTGTCATGTCATTTATCAAAGATGATAAGCCACATTTAAGCACTCGCATTAGAAAAATATGTCAGCACATGCTTTTGTAAACTCTGTGTCAAAGAGATGAAATCAGCAATCAACTCAATCAGATATATCAACATTTCCATTAACTTTTAAACCATTAAGGTCACTTGGCAGAAAGCTCACCATATTGGCCATCAAAGAAAAATTCTTTCTCTCCTCTCCTCTCCTCTCCTCTCCTCTCCTCTCCTCTCCTCTCCTCTTCTCTCTCTCTCTCTCTCACACACACACAAGTTAAAAACAAATGTTAGCACTTGTTTCAGATATTAAGTAGTCTGGGAGTTTAACAAAAGAGAATTTGAAAAAGAAATTATTATTTCTCCTCAAGTGCAAGTATAAATTTTAAATAGTTTACTCTACATATAACTATACCCTTAGGTCTTTATTCCCCTTTTTTTATAAAACACACAAACATTAAAGACAATGTTTTGAAGCTAGGATGTTTGTGATGGATTCTGACTTTAAAAATAACTCATACTTTATTGAAAGTTGTAATTTTTTCTCTCTAAACAGTCACAATTGCTGCTTAGGAGATTGATAAAGGCTTAATTGGAAAACATTACTTTGCATATTATAAATCAAGAAGCTAAAATAGTATATCTCACTTTCATAACATGAATTTTATGCATGTGGTTCAGACATGGCCTTCAGAAACAGAGAGCGCTAATCTTTTATCTAAGTCAGTCCATTTGTAGGAGTTGCAAATATTCATAAGAAGCTGTCAAAATTTATGAATTACTAAGAATGCCTCAAGATTAGATAATTAACAGTTAAGCAGTGTGTTTAGGTGACTACTGTTAGCTGAGGATGTTAAGTGAGTGTGTGCATGCATGTAAGCATGTGCATATATGTGTGATGTGTTAAGTACGCATATTTGTTTTCCCTATATATGTACATGCAACAAACTATTGATTAAATTGAAAACATTTTCACAATTAAATTTAGTTTCTTATAATCAGTTATGAAGGGAATTAAAAATAATTTGTGTTAGATAAAGACATAGGCTCGGCTACTTATCTTTTGTTACTAACATTGTGTTCCCCATTCTGTGTAATTTTAATCATGTTCATCTTTAGATTAACAGTTGCTGGTATTGTATAGTTTGCATTTTAATTTATTTATCATGTTATTTCTAAATTTCATTTAATTGAAGTCATTTCAAAAGCATTGAAATCTTAAACCATTCAGTTCCTTAAAGGTGCTTCATGTGTTTTAATAGGCTTCCATTGTGTGTTTTTGCAGCAAGCTTAGTAGTGGAGGAGCGAACAAGACAGATGAAAATGAAAGTCCATCGATTTAAGCAGACAACAGGGTCTGGTTCTAGTCAAGAACTTGATCGCGAGCAATATTCCAAGGTAAAATCAGTAGTATCCAACCAATAGTCTCCCTTTTAGAAATTTGTAGTTTGTGCATTGGCCAGGATGAGCCAGCACTGTTACATGAGTTGTCAAGGAATGACAATCTTATTACTGTCATTTCTCCTAAAGACTGAAAAAACTCTCCTTCCTCTTGATATTTTCACAATATATAACTTTTTTGAAATATATTATTAACTTGGAATTAATAGTTTTCTGAAATGAAAACATAAATACTTGATATTATAAGTCACTTATGGTTGACATTTGTCAAGTTTACAAAAACAACAAGATATGTGAAGCTGTTTTGTTGCTTGAATATCATTTAAATATTGCATTTAAAATATCAAGATACATATTTATAGTCTTAACCACTTTTTCAGGCTGATGTTGATTATAGAGATTTCTTAGTGAATGACTAAAATTATGTTGTGAGGTTTCTTACTGATTAGTCTTTTCCAAAAATTTTTTAGTTATAGATGGACACAACACCTTTATTTTGTTTATTTATTTATTTATTATATGGTACTGAGGATAGAACTCAGTGCTTCACATGTGTGAGGCAAGTGCTCTGCCACTGAGCCACAAACCCAGCCCTTGATTAATCTTTAGTAAGGATAAATAACTGCTTTCAAACCCTTAGAAGCTGAAGTCACACAATTTCAAGTGCCAGTAGCATTTATTCTACATCAAATATTATTTTCTAAGGAGTCTATAAGATGCTAATTACTGTCTAGTAAGTTTAATTAAAATATAGAATTTTATACTTTAGGAGGTAAGTTATGTATATTATCTGGTTTACTTAAAAATCTTTCTAAAATTACTGCAAAAGTAGCAGCATCCATTATAGGTCAACCTTTGTTATCATTTGATATAAAGAAATCTTTTTGGAAAGAATTACTGATTAGAAAGCAAAGTAAATAAAAAGAAAACACACTAAATTAATATAGTTAGCCTGAAATAATGACTAGATAAACCTATTTATTTTTACAGCTTAAAATATGGACTAGAAAAACCAATAATGCATTTTCAAAACTTGAAAGGTAGCCAATAAAAAACAAAACACACTTTTTAAAAAAAGAAACAGATATTCAATGAATAATATAAAAAAGTAAATATAGTTATAAAATTTAATTTGCTACCCATACAAACACAGAGTTATTCATGCTATAAAGTCTGTCACTTTACACTTTATGTTAGATGAAAAAGGCTTTTCAATATACAATGCATAGGGTCACTGTGATCCAGGGATGCCAATTCCCAAAGAGTTTATAACAATTTTTTAAAATGTAGATTCAGTAAAGGTAAAACACAAAATTGTTAACCAGAATATTTACATTTTGTATACAATTCCAGCTCTGTACATCTTTTCTGCAGCTTATTCTTTATGTTATTACCACCAAGTGAGCTTACTTATCTGTCACTTTTATTTTACAACAAATGGGATAAGACCTAGAAGACGGAGTAATTTAAGGTTTTGGTTTCTTTTGAGTTTTTTTTTTTTTTTTTTTTAATCCTTCTCTACAGTTAGAAGAACTTATTCAAAAGGTTTTTTGAACTGGAAGGACTTCATTAAAGCCAGAAATACTTTATTGATTTCTTAGCATTATGTCAGAGGTTAAGGTCAAATAGAACTGCAAGGGGAGGTTGGGCCCCCATAGCAAGCAGGAAGGAAGGAAGTAAAGAATCAGTAAAATACTGACAGCCTTTTGGATCATTCTGAACTAGGACTCCAATCCTTAATGAGTTCATCAAAAAACTTTGCAGAATATAGAGCTCTAAAAGTCCAAATCATCACTAATACTTGTAGTCATGGTAAATCAAATGTAGGTTTATCTTGTTTGGGAGATACCCATTCTGTGGCTCATAGCAATTTAGAACTTGAAAGAACCTCAATATAGTATTTTATTTCAACTTACTTATTTACCAAAATTTTGAACACTGAGGCTCTGAAGATAGGTGACTTACTGAAATTGATAAAGCCTCTCTGTGGAGTGATTTGGGACTTAATTTTTTATGCTTCTTATATTGCTGAAATGCATATGTTACTCCTGCTTGATTCAAAGGTTCCCATTGACTGCTAATTTACATTTGAATATTCTATCCTCCCTCCCCCCTTTACATAGGCATCCTCTGTCTTTCATTGCATTTGAATATTTTAAAAACATTGCTTTCAAGTATATTACTGTTATTCTTTAGGAATATATTGATTAACTCTAGCACTTAATAAAATTACTATAGCTTTTAATGCCAGTAAGTATGAGATCTAAGGTATAGTAGCTTTAAGAACCTGTAAGAATTGATGATGGGAAAATATGTAAAATAAAATAGCAAATGATTAGCTCATTTTTTACTTATTATGTCAAGTAAAATATACATATTCATATTGGACTAATACTCCCAATATTATTTTTATTAACTTTTTAATTAATACATGAAAATAAAAATTGTACATGTTAATGGGATTTAAAAGATGGTTTTAGTAGCCATTTCAGCTAGTTCAAACCTCCCTCATATACTTGAGAAATTATCTTTTTTGTTTTTTAAACTTTTGCACCAAGCATTTTAATATATTCTGAAAATATCTCTTTTTACTGCTTTAATTGAGTGTCAGTATTATCATAAATATAATAAATTAAATTTTGAACTTTATTCCTTTAATACCATTTCTATTTATTTGACATTTTGGATGAAGCAATACACCTTTGTTGAATGTATTGCCAAGTTAAAATAGTTAACTGTTCTTAAAATACTTTTAATTAAACATCAGAACTATGTATTTTTTCAGGGCATAAAATAATCTCATGAATATAATTCCTGAGATGTTTTTTGAAACGTGGCACCTCTTTAAAAATATTAAGTAATGCTAACATCCGTCCTGAGTAAGGAATTATCACTAACTTTGCTTTTGAAAAGACATAAAACTGCTTTGGCATCCTTAAAATGTGTCTCCAGGTTATTTTTTCATTGATGTTAGTCAGAGTTGCATGCTTTAATGATGGGTTGAACTCATACTTGGAGGGTAATCACATTTAGGCATTCACATTTTGAAACTGCTTATGTTTCTGTAACCCAGGAACAGTAGCCAAAACTGATGGGATGTGTTTTGTAAGGTAGCTGCCGAGTATTTATTATTGCTTACTTCTAAAAACAGCAGCCCTATATTTAGAGCCTTCCTTCTCATTAATGACTTATTTTTCTGCACTGTGATCAGTAAAAATTCCTCCTGGGAAGATCCTGTTCTTCAAAATATAATTAATATATTTCCACTAAAATACTAAATTGTTTAATAAGAAATTTAACCATACTCGATGCAAAGACCTATATAGCAAATTGAGTAAAGAAATGGCTTGTAGAAAGGGAAGGTTTTGTTGGAGAAATACTTCTATTTACACTCACACACACTTGCTCTGTAGTCTTATTACTTAATGTTGGCATTACCAAATAAAGGGAGCATTTCTTCTGGGTGTCAATGCAATGCTAGAAAATCTCCTATAACTGGATAAATTCTTAGGGTATTAGGTCCCATTTATTTCCATTTCTTTCTTGGAGAAGCTATCATTCTAATACATTTGGAAACATAGTCATTACATCTCTTTTATCATGATAATATATTTTTAAAAAATAATCCAAGAGCTTAGTTTGTACCCCAGCATATATTAAAACTCAGTTTGTATTCCACAATGACATAAATTGTACCACATCTACTCTACAAATTAAAAATAGTTGTGGTCAAAAATCAATCATGTCAGTCAGGATTGTATGATGAGATATGAAAGAACTTGCTTGGTAGATTGAATTATCACATTAATTTCAAAACATTAAGCCATATTAATTTTAGATCAAATAAAATTATATAATTAGCTTAGTTCAGAAAAATCATAGCATATGTGAATTTCCTTTGGATTATAATCTACCATATGGCTTTTAAAGGTAAATACAATTATGAAAAATACTTTAGAAGAATAATTTTGTGCATATTTTATAATTTGGGAATTGTATTCATACCTGATGTAAAATTCTTTGACCAATATATACACATGAGATGTGAAGAATTAAAACATAAGTATTTTAAAACTAAACTAGTCTTATATAAGGAATTATGAAGTAAATGTAAATCCTTTATCTAAGGTTATTTTTATAGTTTTTTTAATACATTTTGTATATATAAAGCCAGGTTTTAGCATGAGCTTATGTAGTATATTTTAGCAAGACAGTTGAGATTCATTAAAACTCCTGATTTGGATTATCAGATAATAGATGACTTTTTTCTGAGGGTTCAATGAACATTGATAGATAACAACATTATTGCTTATAAATCTAAAATCAGATTGCTTAGCAGGAAACTTAAATATTCAAGTGTTTAGTTATGCTTTCTTTTATTTTTATGTAAGAATTTATAGTATTTTACCTTCTAATACCTAAGAAAACTCATATGTTATAAATTTTTAGTTTTATATAATTATATTACCTTACCATTATAATTATATTGCATATATAATAATAAGCTATTTACTGTGTGGTTCATTGCAATAAGAGAGTAAAGTAGAAAGAAGAATAAAATGCCTCTCTTGATAAATGCATGTTTTAATCTTTTACCTGATAACTCCTAAAATCTTAGAAAATTCATAAAGACAAATATCTGATATGTGTATATTGAAATAGTAATAGGAGTCACATTTTACTTTTAATAGTTAATAATTTAAATCCAAAAATATCTTTAAAAAACAATAGAAGGAATGGTAAAGTCCAGTCATTGCTCTGTTGCTTTACTCAGTTTTGTCATGTCCCCTCAGCTTTAATATCAGCTTTTGTGTGTGTGTGTGTGTGAAGAGAGATATTTGTTTGAAGAAATTTGAAAGGTAGAGTATAATGTCTTAGAAGAAAAGTACACAGGTGAATTGAGTAGTTTTAGAAAGAATGAACAAATATAGGCGATGAAAGCAGTCTGTCCCATGAGTAGAGTGGAAAATGAACACAAGAGGCAACAGTGAAAACAAAAACAAGAAACTGATGTTCAAGAAAAAAGTGAATAATACAATTTTAGATTTTAATCATATACAAATAATTCATTGAATTGCCCATCCAAACATTTAAATTTTGTGTTCAATCTTCATAAGCCATTGTTTATCATTGAAAGGATAGTAGATTTTTATATTGGAAACCATGTTAATGTTTGGATTATTTTAGTTTCCACGCCTGCTTTTACAAAGGTACACTTTTATTTGATGTGGGTTAAGTAGTCATTTACCTCACCATCTGTGTCTCTTTTTTTCATGATCTCATGATGGAGCTCACCCTTTCTTGTTTTTAATCTTTAGTATAACATACATAAAGATCAGTACAGAAGCTGTGATAACGTCTCTGCCAAATCATCAGATAGTGATGTCAGTGATGTGTCCGCCATTTCCCGAACCAGCAGTGCCTCACGCCTCAGCAGCACAAGCTTTATGTCAGAGCAATCTGAGCGCCCCAGGGGTAGAATCAGGTGAGTTGGCAATGCTGTTTATACTAACTGGATCTTTATCCATGGTATAAAATGTGACTAGCTTCCAGAATATTCTTTCTTGGATAGAGTTTAGTTCAACTAGCAGAAACATCTCATTAAAATAACTTGGTGGGTTGAACATTTTCTAAATTCTGTGTAGTATGACTAACAAAATGTTAGGTTCTACCTATTATCAGATATTCTTCATTATTATAGTCATGAGTTTAGAGGTTCCTCAGTCACATTTGTAGGCATTTCTTTTAATATGATGAAATCCACAGAATATCCTTACATCCAATGTCAGGAAGCTCTTTCTGTAAAGGGCCACATGGTAAATACATCAAGCTTTGCAAGACAGTATCAGCCATATCTATCAACTGTGTCATCGTAGTGTGAAAACCATACAAATAAATGCATGTGGCTGTCTTCCTTCCTATCTAGCTGTCTCCAAATGCAGAGAGCAAACTATATTTTCCCAGTTGAGTGTAGTGTGCCCACCTCTACTTTAATCCCATGATGGTTGGTCTATTTTCAGGATAGGGTATACTGGATATGATAACAAAATACACATTCCTAGTTCATATTATGTTAGTTGTATGTAAGAAATTTTCATCAGCTTCATTAATCACCCATAGTGCTCTTGTGTTATCACAAGGCACATACCGTACTTGAAAGGGAAAAGACCTCAGACCTTCAGATACTATCTAAAGTAAAGCAGACTGATTGTGGACAAAGCATATTTTATATTTGTTCTTCAAAAGTTTTCAAAAATATATTTCATGCAAGGAGTTTTAGGACTGATGAGAATTCCAAATACAGATGTTAAAAATAGGAACAAATACCTATTATTATTATTATTACAAATACCTGATATTATTGCACATTTTGATATTCAAAAAAATATATTCCTAAGACTCTTTCTTCCTGGATTTCCCTACACGTATGTTGTCCGTTGAAACAAATTAAAAGTAGCCATCTTCCAGTTAGTTAGCAGTTTCATAGTCTTATAAAAATCTACTTGAGAAGTTTCAACTGAGTTTTTAGGACTAAACAATAAAAAGGAACTTTAGGCAGTTTAACAAAAAGGGCCTATGATTTTGCAAAAAGAGAACAGGAAGAAACTACATGCTGGTGTATTGAAGCCTGTTTTACTCTGTGGAGAAAATGACAGCTTAACAAATCACACTCTGTGTCATGACAAGAAGCAAAAGGTAGAGTACCTCTCACTTCTTTGATTCATAAGAATTTTTTTATTTGTTGAAAGTGGTGGAGAGAAATGCAGACCTAAAAAAGGGTACAAATGAATTTTTTATTGATAAGCCCATTTTCTTTAAGCATGTTCCTGTTTTCTACTTTCCCTTTTCTGTAGCTTAAAATCCTCAAGAACTGTGAGTTTGTTTTATGTAAGTGGATTATGTATATTTCCACACTAGAGCTGGTAGCTAAACAAGTTTCCTCTTAAGGGAGATAGTTTTCCTGTAATCCCATTCTTTGTCATTGATTCTCCATGTATGTACACATTTGATCCTCTAAGAATAATGAGGATGAATAGAGGGAAAGTGAGATACTGGAAGAGATGAGTCAGACACTCAGAGGCTAGTTATCTTTTCATATACATTCTTCTCCCTACATATGCCCATAGGAGCAAAAGTATGTGCATGCACGCACACACACACACACACACACACACACACAAACACACCCAACAGACTTTACATAGCTATTTTCCCTCCAGCATCCACATTATGGCAAAATACTGAGAGTTAATGGTTTTGGAATGGGGAAAAGAAGACAGAACAAAGTGACCTCAGTATAAAAACATCAAAATAGTATGTCTCAGTGTTATAGAACAAAGACTTCAGGCCTTTCAGCTATAAATATCTCCTACTTTCCTAGCTAACACCATGAAGAATGAATGTCCTCAATGTATTACTTTATATTTTAGTAGCTAACATCTGCATAGGTTTTATAATTTTGTAAATTCAAGTTTGTGGTTAAAATGAACAAAGTTGAATGATTTATTTGTCATAATAAGTATCAGCACATTTTGAGTTCTCATCCTGTGTAAGGACTTTTTTTAAAATAAAATTACATTAAAATATAATATTTAGGACACATACTAAAGCAGATTATGGCTTACTTAAGAATTTATAACCTATTTTTAAACTTTTTATTGGTGCATCATAATTATACATAATAGTGGGGCTCATTGTGACATTCATATATACATAAAACATCTTGTTCCATTTCATTCTCCAGGACTTCTTTCTTCCTCTCTTCCTCCTTCCCCCAATCCCCTTTCTACTCTGATGATTGCCCTTCTGTTTCATGAGATCCTATCCCCTCATTTTTTTGTCTAGTTTCCACACTATGAGAGAAAACATAACCCTTGACCTCCAGTTCTATTCATTCTCCTGCAAATCACTTAATTTCTTCTTATTTTGATACTTTTAAAAATTTGTTCTAGTTAGTTATACAATACAGCAGAATGCATTTTGCATAATTTCTTCTTTATGGCTGAGTAAAGCTCCATTATGTATATATACCACATTGTCTTTATCTTTTCATCTATTGATGTTCACCCAGGCTGGTTCCATGACTTGGCTATTGTAAATTGTGCTGCTACAAATATGAGTATTCATGTATTGCTCTAGTATGCTGACTTTAGTTCCTTAGAATAAATACCAAGAGGTACTATAGCAGGGTCAAATAATGGTTTCATACCTGGTCTTTTGAGCAACCTCCATACCGATTTCTGTAGTGTTTGTACTAATTACAGTCCCACTAATAGCATACAAATGCTGCTTTTTCATGCATCCTCACTAGCATTTACTATTATTATATTCTTGATGATTGCCATTGAAACTCTCATGAGATGAAATCTCAATGTAGTTTTGATTTCCTGATTGTTAATGACATTGATCTTTTTTAAAATATATTTGTTGACCATTTGTATTTCTTATTTTGATAAATGTTCATCTGTCCATTCATTGGGTTATTAGTTTTCTTGTTGTTGTTGTTCGTGGTGCTAAGTTTTTGAGTTCTTCACATATTCTGGATATTAATCCTCTGTCAGAAGAGTGGCTAGCAGAGGATTCAGGCTGTTTTGTTCTAGCAGTTGCAGAGTTTCTGGTCTAATTCCTGTGTCTTTGATCCACTTTGAATTGACTTTTGTGCAGTATGAGGGATAGGGATTGGGTTTTATTCTTCCACATTTGAATATACAGTTTCCTAGAACCATTGGTTAAAAACACTGTCTTTAATATACACACTAAAAAAAAAACCCTATTTTTAGGATCTGGTTCCTTGTCTATATCTGACATATGTCACAAATGGCATAAGAAGTGTTTTATTATCCATTGCTTTGAATAAACATTAATTTGGAAGACAATGAAAGTATTTAGAATATGATATAGCATTCCCTAAAGCTGAGGTTTAATGCTTTAAAAGTTAATATAGTACCCAGTGTTCTCAGGAGGGATGGTAAAAAAAAAAAAATACCGTATGATATGGCCTCATTCTTTTCTTATAATATCATGGTATGTAGTCACTCATAATACCAGTATTTTCCAAATAGGGCTTAGTACATTTTCCTCCTAATAATTCACCCTAAATATTTTTGTTTTTAAGATTTTGTGTTTTGTGTTTTGGATATTGGTTATTACATCAAACTTGTCCATTCAGGAAAGTTTTGTTTAAATTGAAAATTGACATCCCTTTTCTCCAGAGGCACCCACCCAGGGTGAACTGCTTAATTTGAAGTGGTTCAATGTCCCCCCCCCCTTTTTTTTTTGTATTGGGAATTGAACCCAGGGGTGCTTAACCACTGAGCTATATCTTCAGCCCTTTTTTTATATTTTATTTAGAGACAGGGTCTTGCGGAGTTGCTTAGGGTCTCACTAAGCTGCTGAGGCTGGCTTTGAACTTACAATTCTCCTGCCTCAGCCTCCAGAGCCACTGTGATTGCAGACATGCACCACTATGCCCATCTTGTTTTTCACTCTTGATTGACTGAATAGTTCATTTAAAATGGTCCAAAATATATCTTAGGTTTTCAGTTTAAGTTTACTGAGAAAATTGTAGTATGAAAATACAAAAGAGCATAATGTTTGCATAGAGTAAGTAAACTTTAAATTAAAAATTATTCTGTAAACTTGTTGAAATGGACTAAAAATGATTCACACAAACTTAAGAATGATTCTTACAATATATAATCAACCCTGCGTGCTTCAGAATAATAAGTATAAGTAAAGATTTGAGATTCTTAGTGGTTTTTTTTCAGATTTGTTCTTACAATTTGAATTCAATATTTGCTTAAATAAATATTTCTAAAAGAACATTTTTGCATTCAAATATAAAATATGCAGTGCATATTAGTAAATATGGCATAATTGATAATAAAAATGCATGTGTAATAAAAGCCAGGAATAATTATATTGTGTTTCTGTTTATTTTTATATCTAAAGAAGATTTTTAAAAAAGATATTCATTTCCAAAATGAGCTTTTCATGGCATAGGTCTGAATTTTTCATCTTCGTCATTTATCTTTTTCATTCAAGGCAGACAAATTTCAGGTATTTAATGAAAAATCATGCCTTAAAAGCAAATGTAGACATAATCCTAAACTTGCTCCCAGACAATTATTTTAGAAGGTTTATCCAAAACCAACAATTTTTCAGCAGCATTTAAGTTTGTAACACATGTTCTCTAGGCTTTAGCGAATTTAACTTGTATTCCTAAGTGAATGTCAATAAACAAACTCATAAGACAAGTCTTATGCAAACAGTTTCATTTTCTTTTATCATATCCTTTGGAAGGAATATCATCAAAGCAATTACTACACTCATAATTTGGAAGATATGAAAGGATTAAGAGAAGTTATCTTCCATGGCAAATAGTAACCTTAAAACTATAAATTTACTAAAATGTGGCATTTGATGTCAGTATAATAATATGTAATCATATGCTAGCAGGAATGTTTTATTTATTTGGGTATTTTT